ATCTAATGGCTAGTAATGTAGTATAAGGTGTCCAACCTTTAAAAAACGCCCCTGCAGGGTAGTGTCCAGAAACGCCCTGGCTTAACCACACACACACACACCTCTGCTTTAATTAAAATATTGATACAAATACAGAAAAATTTCTTGTTCACGATTTTTACGTAGGCCTAATAAACGTATTCTTCATTTTATATTATAACTAGTGCAATGTTTATGGTCGCTGGAATCATTATTGTTGATTTCATTTTCGCCCATTTTGTATTATTACTGGTGCAGTGTTTAAGGTCACTAGATTCTTTATTGTTGGTGTCACTTTTCCCCCATCTTGTATTATTATAATGCCATTTTACTTATGTTATTATCACTGGGCGAGAAGAAAATATATATCAGTTTTGTTGCTTCAGCTATGAACAGTAACTATAGGTAGGCCATATTTAACTGTTGGTTTACATTAGAGATAAGCATTTCTGTAATTATAGTATTAATTGTGTCTTCCGTTTGCATTATAGACAAGTATTTCTGTGATTAAATTATCAACTGTGTCTCTTTTGGTTTATGAGTATTTCTGTAAATATATGTAGAGTTCTAATTAATACTTACCATACTGCGTTTACTTGGCTTGCAGACAGGTTACACATAAACTATACAAACTAAGTTTTTTAGTCTGTATTATAGCTATTGCCAACAGTTATTATTATTAATGTTACTGTGCCTTTTGTCTAAATTGCACCTTTTCCTACTTATATAATATACAACCAAATAAGGCATTCATATTTAAATGGTGTAAGTAGAAGCCGAAGAACAAAATAATTACACAGTCGAACTTAACACACAAATGTAAAATGCTCATTTCTACTTTACTCACAGTTGTGTAGTTTCTAATTTGTCCCCGTTTGAGTTATATTTTAATATAATCTTTGTGTTCCTGATTAAGCTTATTTTTACGTTTAAAGCATGCACTGATTTGCTGTAATTCTCTTTACATCAGTACTGTTATACATTCCTTTGTTATATTGTTCCACAATAATGTAATCTTCAACTTATGTTGTCTCGATCTTTTTTGCAGATAAAATTGTTTTAAATATTTACCATCGATTTTTCAGAAACTCGGACCCCCTCAGTGGTTGAGCGGTAAGTCTGAAGGCTTATAACGCTAAAATCTGGGTTTCGATACCCGTAGTGAGCACAAATATAGCCCATTGTGCAACTGTATGCTTAATAACAAACAAAAATTTAAGAAATTGAAGCCGCATCCTTTATCATAATAAGCACTTGCGTCGCGTTTTTTCCACCACGAAAAATGTTCAAACTGAAATTAAGACGATAACAACTTTATCTATAATCATGGATCATCCGAGGAGCCCCATGTTGATGGGGTTACATTTATCTTTACATTCACTGAAATGGAGTTAATGTTTGAAATATGGCAGTTACTGATAAGAATTACCTTTAAAAACGTTTTACTCTGACACCAGGGACAAGTAGAAACTCGTTAGTTATGGCAACCTTGATATCGAAACAACGATGGATATATTGGTAAGTATTATACGTAAGATGCTTACTGAACTAAAAATCACTGTTACATTTGGGATATAATAATTTTAGCCAATTACATGATGAAATCTCACTCAATACTGGCACGTTGTCAAAAAAAGTGCTCGTAAACAGAATATTTTTACCTTGACATTCACGAACCAAAACATGTTTACAGTTAAAAGACACCTAGATGAAAACTAGTATTCTTACTACATTTGTAAGGCTAAATTATTATGTTTACGAAGATATGTTTTATTTTCATTTGTGAAAGAATAATTAAGCACATCTCCATTTCTTTGTATTTATATAACACGTTAGTCGTAGTATATTTAAAACTCCCTTCCTGAACACTTACTCAATCTGATTACACCAAACATCACAGTGGATACTGTTTAAACAGATCAAAGGTATAAAAGTCTATCAGAGCCGTATTACAGGAACTGACTGATTTTTTTGGTCTAATAATGCTTACGTGATGCCAATTTGCTCATGAAAATATCAGAGATTTTTAGATGTATCCGGAAACTTGTGAACCACTGCTTTGCGAGCATTGAAATCCGTATTTATTTCTCACTAATATCAACAGCAGATATACCCTATTTCATTGCAATGGCTTTGAGGCTAGAAGGTTCTCTTTCGTAACCATAGCTTGAACTTTGCGGTTGGGAGCATTGATCCGTATTCGTTTGGAATTTGGCTTAGGAGCCTGTCGAGTAATGTCTTGGGATTCTGAAAATAATAGGATTTAAACTAAATATGATAATATTGAGCAAAGACCGTTAGCTGTTGTAGAGGAATGAATGGGATTTAAAAGCTAATTTAAATTTAAAGAGTTATGGTTGTTATCTAAAAATCAAAGTTATCTACCAATGTACATAAATGGTGCAGTGTAAAATATTATTTATTAAAACAGCAAGTGTTCGATATGTTACATAGTTTTTGTACTACCCATAAATTAAAATATATGATTGATCGGTTACGAATAGTTCACAAAGATGTAGTTTTCGAATCACCTGAAACAGTTTGGTCCCCTGGTGGTCAGCAATATTTTTACAGATTTATAATGCTACTGTCCAGTGTTCGATTCCCCTCTGTGCACCGATTACGCTAAGAAACTATAACTATCCAAACAAAAAAAATCAACAGCTTTATGTAAGCATGCGCATTCCAAAGTAATTAACTAAAATAGATCACCTTCAATTACCATCTTTCTCGATAACTAATCCGATGTTCACATTATTCTTAGTATTTTCTAGTTTTACTAAACACATACTGATTTACCAAGTTATACTTTTTTTTTCTCTGAAGCTAGCTACATCTTTACCATTTAATAAACTTTAATAATTTTGGGTCTAGTACTTTCGAAGTTTATTTTAAAAGTTTTGTAAAAAGTTTGTTTTTTATAAGAGCAAAGTCACATTGGGCTATCTGTTGTGTCCATCACGGGGAATCGAACCCTGGATTTTAGCGTTTGATGTCTTTGGAGTTACCGCTGTCCCTTGTGAAATGCTACACAAGAACTATCTGTGCATAGTTGTCACTGATTTTGAACTGATAGACTAGATTGCAGCGGACACCTTCGTCTACCCCCCCCCCCACCCCACCCCACACATCACCCCCAAAACCAACTAAATTACATCCTGGTTATTTTAAATTATAGACATGTATTCTTGACATTTTTATAGTTAGTATACAGTGGAATTCAGGCAAGCGTTAAATCCGTCAAAAATTATACACATGTTTAATAGTCAATTTTGTCAAACGATCTCGTTGGATATGCGGGTTTTTAGTATATCACGTTATTCCTTGCAGTAAATAATTTTAGCAGTAACTTTTCCCCTAAATCTTCTCATGAGCCCTCAAGATACATTTCGCTCCCCTCCCAAGTTTGAGAACCAGTGGACCAGAATGAAGTCATCTAACCCAAAGCTCCCACCGTCAACTCTTGTCTGACAGAATAGTCTGGTTTCACCGCCACTCTCATAGCGTTCTCACTGCCTCAGAGTGCGAAGCGTGTGCTGCTACAACAGGACAAATCATTGGATACACAGTCCGGGCACGCTAACCACTCTTCCAATCCCTTAATAATTAGAACCATTCCTGTTAATCATCAAAGGGGCACCTTAGAAAACAGCATGAGATATACTGATACGTATTCAAACATATATTCCTCTCTCTTTCTCTCTCTCACACACACACAGTGGCACAGCGGTAAATCTGAAGACTTATAACGCTAAAAACTGGGTTTCGATACTTTTGATGGGCACAACATAGATTACTCATTTTATAATTTTGTGCTTTAACTATAAACAAACAAAGAAAAACTTTTTATATTAAATATTTTTGTAGGTGAATCGAACAAAAATGTATTAAAAACTCGATAAAAAACAAACAAACAAACGAAAGAGGATAATGTAATATAATATTTTCTATGCTGAATAACTTTTCATAAAGTAGTAATTTTCCTCCTAAGGTAGTCTTTCATTTAATACGAGCGGAATAACGCGTGTCAGATAGACTTTTGTTTTGCATATTAACAATAACGTAATCATATTTTAGACATAAATCAAAAACTAAAGTGAAATTTGAGAAACACTGACATCGCATAAGTAAAATGAATAATATAATTGTGACAAACTCTGCCGTAAACGAGTGGAGTGGCAACATTGAATCACATTTTCATACTTTTATTACCTGCATCATCCTGCCCCCTGGTGGGGCAGTGGTAAGTTTAAAGACTTACAAAGCTAAACTCCGGCGTTTGATTCCCCACTGTGGAACAGGAAGTAGACAATATGGCTTTGTTCTAAAACAAACAAATCCACATCATTCATATAGTCTGCAGGCAGGGGTTGGATGTAAGTAACAATGCTCTTTTTTGTTCCTGTATTTTTGTATATATGATAATTGAAGAACAGGCTTACTGTGTGAGATATGGTATTTTTAATCGTCAAATTGATATATGAGTGTGTATTGTTGAAGACTTGCCGTGTGAGATATGTTATTTTTAACCGTCAAATTGAGTTATGAGTGTGTTTTTGAAGACTCGCTGTGTGAGATATGTTATTTTTTAACCAACAAATTGATGTATGAATGTCTATTGTGGAAGACTTAATATACGAGAGAGTTTATTTTAATGTAAAATATCTGCCTGTGTGTGTATTGTTGAAGGCACAGTTTTAATAAATATTTATGTTTCTTCAACAATACACACTCATACAGCTCTTTAACAAAGAAGTTATTTAACTATTTTCAACGTTGTGTTTATTTTAAACAAGAAATTGTGTTTGTTTGTTGTTAAACGCAAAACTACACAATGGGCGGGTATCGAAACCCGATTTTTTGCATATAAGCCCTCAGACATTCTTATCAAGAAAGAGAGGTGATATGTCATTGAAAACTTCGCTGGTGATTTTTTTTTTCCCAGTACAAATAAGAGTCTGAAGTGTGAAACACATACATACCATTTTCTCTCGTGGAAACAAAGCATGGGCAAGAGTTTCTTTTGAACACCCAGCACTGTGAGTTCTGCGTAACAATCGTGAGATTTTTCCTCCAGTAGATTTGGATGAGGGTATAGATCCAGTGGCACCCTCTAGAGGTTTGTTGTTACCGTACCCAAGTTTGTGACTTTTGTCACGGATTTTGCTTGACCAGTCACTGTGGAAATCCATGCTAGAATCACGGCCACTGTAACTAGACAGTTGGTCAGTGCTGAGACTTCCAGAAATTCGTAATTTTCTTCCCGCCAAAAGATGACCTCCTGTATTTTCAACGTTAATTTGGCTGCCTTCAGCACTCATCAAACATTTCTGTTTAAATTCGAAGGCAAGTCCAGAACTGTTATAGGATGGCGTGTTTCCCATACTGTCCGATGTCCATGATGGACTACTCTCACATTCAGCGCTTTCTTCACATTCTATAATACTGTCATCCCTGCACTCTGGTGGCAGGGGTTCAGGTTTACGGCGCATAGTTCTAACCTGGTCACGCGACAGAAGTCCTAAGGCCAAACTTTCATCAGCATGATCACGCATATAACGTTCCATAGCAGCCAAATCCCATCGTTGAGCACAATCCTCTGATTCCTCCACCAATACTCCCTAGAATGTAAAAAATAAATAGATAAATAAACGTTTCTCAAACTGAATGGAAAGGAACAAAACAAACTACAATGGTTTCATCACTCTCTACATTTAACAATGTATACAGGCCATTTGTTTCTAATCTTTTATTACTAACCTTACAGAGTAACAATTTGGTAATTGTGAAGTGTTTCAACCGCCACAGAGCAGATATATTTGTGTCTTTAATAAACTATTACCAATAGCAGCTCAGAAACGACGAAATAACTTGCCCTGCAACATTTGAAGACCACTCTTCGGGCTTAAATTATTACAGTTGTTTTTTATAATGTACTAGCTTAAATTCAGACCAACTTTAAGAAAAGAAACTTACATATTTGCTCGATAATCGCTTGAAACACCTGTCAGCTACGTGAAGCCTAAGGCTTACCATATTCCAGCTGGGCGATATTCGCTAATGTTCCCCCACTTTATAATAAGTACTTTTGTATCTAATTTTGTGTAACATCAGGGGGAGGATGTATCTGTTGCTTTTATATCAGTATATTTTAGTTTTCGCTCTATTGGATATGATTTGATACGGAAGTGTAATTATCGCTCAACATGAACTCTTGTTGAGAAAACTCATATACAAGTTGTAACACCACTGAAAGAACCCACATGTTGAACAGAGCGCATGCGCTTAGGAAAAACAGATCGCGTGGGATGTCTGCCAAACGATAGAAGAAAATAAACCTAAGTAAAATTCCTAGAAGACTGAATTTGACGCTGTCCCCATTTTGGCAACAATCTCCGCCAAGTAAGTAAAATAAAAAATAAAAAAATATAAAAGGATCTTCACAAGTAACCAACAATTCTGTTTAGGTCACGCATTTTTAAATATGTTTTATTTTTGCAATATCAGATATCTGTTGTTATTTTTCTTACATAATTACCCAGATATATAGTCTTTAAATCAAGTAATTATTCAAGCTATTTTGGGCCCAGCATTAAGGACAAATCTTTATAATTCGTACACCAGGTCAATGTTAATATCACATATCGAGATAGAAACTTGCAGCTGAGAAAAGTTACATACACACACAGAAAATGTTCATACATGGCTGTGAGATATTACGTTGATTAACCGAAGAAATAAAACTTAGTTTTACTTTTACTCGGCTGAGTTTAAAGGAACATGCCTATAATAAAACTAACAAAAGTATTTTAAGTAGAATGGTAAAAGAAGAAAAAAATAGTACATATGTTATTATCATTTAAAAGCTCCTAATGAAAAAAAAAATCGTTATATTTACCAGCTTTGCAAGTTATATGCGTAAATAAAAAGGTGACTATGTCTTGCACGGTAGAATTTCTGTTAAACCGACACTCTATAACCTATAAATGTAATTCGAATATAGGAAAATACCGGTTGTCTAGACTCGAATGAAGTGACTTGTTTCCTTGAGAGAAAGGTATAGATTCAGTGTAAGCAATACCGTTAATGTTTACATAATGCATTGAATAACCACTTCTTTAAAGCTCAATATACAAACATAATGACTCTTTGAATGTATAAATATATTTCTGATTAAGTAATTCAAGACACTAAGAACAAAGAAAAAAGCCTTGTCTAACACTAAGTCAGACACCTAACTTGAATCAGAACCACAAAAATAGCAGTCTGAACAAACTGCATGATGAAAAGGCAGAAAGAGGAAATGCTCGAATTGTAAGTACTTTATAGAGGAAATTCCATAAATATAACGAAAAAAGGAAGTGTACACTATATTGGTACAGTCGTGTATATGAATATACAGTGAACATACTTCCTTCAAAGATCGGTAACTAGTTACGTCAGATCTAAGTTTTTACAAGTTAGGATATGACAAATATTAAGAGCAGACAAAAAGTCAACTTTACTGATGGTTGATGGAGATCATATCTGACAGTGGGATAATCAATACGATTGTACCTGTACACACGTGCCTCCATTGAGTTAATGTCAGGCAAGTCTCATTCTCGAAATGTTTCCCCATACGCATGATTTTATTGACAAGGGGGAAAATTATATTTATTTTAACAATAGTGGAAGATAGTAGAGGGGATATAAAACATATCTGTAGTCTCCAGAATTAGTTTTATTCCAAAATACATTTTTTACCCCTTTATGTAGCTGTATTTTACTTTACTTGCGCTTAACGATAACATTTAGAATATTGAAGTTTGTAAATATTTTCCGCTTAATTAAGTTTATAGAGCAGTTTACACTCAAAACCTAATTATGGTCAGTAATGGCTGCAAAAATCAATCTTGCATCTCATTCTTTTTACAGCATGTATCATACTATGATTATTTTACTAGGCCTTGTAAGTCCTACAAACACGGTGTATTATTCTATTTACTACTGCTATACTCTGATGCATTTACATTCCATTGTTAAGTTCTATGTCAGCAGCTGTTGCTCGCTCTCGACCGTGCCCAGCCAGGTGCTACACCCGGATCTCCAGTTTTAAACCCACGTTTCATTTCAGCCTACCTTCGCTTTCATGCGAGATATATATATGACGACATAAAAACAATTACACATCAAAATAAAACCATTTTTACCATAAGTAAATCTTAAAGGAAAAACAGTGTTTTATTCATTATAATTTCCGCTTTGATGTATTAAAAATTTAGCCATGATTATTATAGTAATTATGAATAATCCCATCTAAATATAAAGGGCCGGAATATCCAATAGATGCACGATGCACGCGACTAGAACACCTTTCGGGAAGTGGTAATAAGAAAACGTAAGATAACGTTTGCAGTGTACACATTAATAAAATTGCCCTACAACATTGTTAAATGCTGTGTCTTTTCTTGAATTGCTACAACAATTGTATAATTTGTATTAAAGGTTCTATCTTTTCTTGAATTGCTACAACAATTGTATAATTTGTATTAAAGGTTCTATCTTTTCCTGAGTGTTGCAACAATTGTATATTTTTTATTATAGGTTCTATCTTTTCTTGAATTACTACAACAATTGTATAATTTGTATTAAAGGTTCTATCTTTTCCTGAGTGTTGCAACAATTGTATATATTTTTTTCTTGTTTCACCCATCGATCGGAGATTTTGAAAATGTATTTAAAATGAGGATCGCTACTTGTAAAACATCTTTTGGTGTTTCGTTGGAGTGCTCTTGCAGATGCGTACAATGCTTTGTTTCAGTCTTACACCAGTGTAGTTTCCATTAGAGGAAACTGTGAAGAGAAATGGACGAGCAGAACTGAAACTGAAGGACTGAAATGAAAATTAGAGATACTTGAAATGGGATTAATGATACGTATTTAGTCTCCGCGTCCGAAGAGGTTTGACAAAACTGAAATCGGTTGGTTTGACCTTGATACGGATACGCCGTTAAAAATTACGTTGCATCTTTCAGAGACAACTGATTCCTTGAGAAAGGTGCTAAGATGCTAACTTGTATTCCTGACGCATCCAAGAAGAAGCCGAAAGAGAGAGAACATCAGTTTTAGAAATCAGAGAAATATATGTTTTCTGTTTGTTTATTGTTAAGCACAAAACTACACAATGGGATCTCTCTGCTGTGGCCACCACGGGTATCGAAACTCGATTTTTAGCGCTATGAGCCATTAGATTTACCGCTGAACCACTGGCGGGCAAAAAGATATGGAGTTAAGAGGAAAATAACAATTAAAGATCGAGACATTCTTAGTGATTATTGGCAACATAATTTCCAAGTTAAGAAAACGACGAGAGGCTTCTGGAAAGTCACATGACATACATGGCTGTCTCATAAATGTGAGGAAATGTAGCTTCTAGGGCGTTCATCAAGGTTGTTCGAACGTAATAAATGTGTACCAAATGATCTGGAACGTTCTGTTACTCTAGAATGCTCGCATTTCTAAAAGTTCCTTTAATTAAAAACCCAATGAAAATAATACCGATTACTCTTTCCTTACTGAAACATTTAAGACAAATAAAACTTTAAGCAGTGTTCCAAAATCTAGACATCGCCTAGCGGATGTATCCCAGGACAGAAGTAACAAACTGCTCAAGTATCTCAGCACAGCAGCAACAAGCTGCTCAGGTATCTCAGCACAGCAGTAACAAACTGTTCAGGTATCCCAGGACAGAAGTAACAAACTTCTCAAGTATCTCAACACAGTAGTAACAAACTGCTCAGGTATCTCAGGACAGCAGTAACAAACTGCTCAAGTATCTCAGCACAGTAGTAACAAACTGCTCAGGTATCTCAGGACAGCAATAACAAACTGTTCAGGCATCACAGCGCAGCAGTAACAAACTGTTCAGGTACCTCAGGGTAGCAATAACAAATTACTCAGGACAGCAATAACAAACTTTTCAGGTATCTAAGCGCAGCAGTAACAAACTGTTCAGGTATCTCAGGATAGCAATAACAAATTTCTCAGGAAACAGATTTTTTCTTTGCTAAAACGTGTCAAAAATTACCTCAAATCAAACACTTCCCAAAGCAGACTTAATGCTCTCATTACGTTAGCAATTGAGTCAGATATGTTGAAATATCTAAATTGTGATGACGTTATAAATTATTGTACTATGTTAAAGCACAAAAAATGGTTTTTCAGGGCAAATAGCTAAGCTTACTTTTCGTTTAAAGAACACGCTGTAACTTTTAGAGTTGATTTGATTTGATAATTTTTTTGTGCATATAATGTTCTCTACCTGTCGAACCTAAATTAATATAAAACATTCTTATTGTTAGGAATATAGTGTTGAAAATGTAATCGATCTAATACTAATGTGTTATGCTAAAAATAAATCTTCTTTAGACTTCGCTACAATTTCCAGTGTTGGTGAAAAACAATCCGTTCTCTCACTCTTGGTATTCAATATTCGTGAATGATCGGGTTATGGATTACCTTTGAAATATACAAAGTTTTACCAGCCTCATTTTAGTTCTGTCGTTTTTTTTAATGCACTAATTGTTTCAGCTGCATACATATAGATGAAGATAATTATTTCGTTTATATATTTAAGCAGTTAATACGTTTTGTTGATCTTGAACGTTACTCGATGTTGTAACTATCAGTGTATTTTACAGTCCAAGTCAGCGTTTCCCAAACTATGTTCCGCGGAAACACTGGTGTTCCGTGAGAAAATCGTGATTTTAAATTTTGATAAACTATTTAACACTTTTTCTGTACGACCATAACTTATTATGAAATATTTTCCTATGTATTAGAATCAGATAATATCTATTTCACATTGAAGAAGAATTATAGAAGATGCCATATCTATTCTACATAATATCTTAGTGGAGAGGTTTGTACCTAAAATATATTATAGGCATAAAAATGTAAAAATTCATTAATATGTAACTTGATTAAATAAATAAACGAATAATATACAAATATAGAGGGCGCAACATACTCTCGACACCGATATTTCTCGTGTCTAGTGTTCTGTAAGCTTTTTCTCAGCTGAAAAGTGTTCCGTGGCCAAAAAAGTTTGGGAAACGCTGGTCCAAGTTATACAAATTGGTTTCTTTGCTTCATATTTATTCAATCAATAGTCGAATCCAAAGGGT